TTTTCATGTTTGCCTAGTGATGAGAAGAAGAGATGAGACTGTTGCTTTTTCATACCTCTCCCGTGGACTCTGAAAATTAATTCCACCGTCAGGATTCCCACGCCCCAAATGTGGGTTTGGGGAGAGAAATTAAGACTTTGAAGTCGAGGAAGAACGTACAGAAAATGTTCTCTAGACAAATGCTCGACATGCAGATGTCGGAATCTGTGAGGAGAAAAGTAAAAAGGCACCCGGGAGCCATTTTGGAGAGAAAGGAAAAAGGTGGGAGTGGAAATTGCTACTTCAGCTTAGGAAAGTAAATAGATGAATAAAATAATAAAAGGTAGTGTTAAAGCTTTGGAAGGAATTTTTTTCATTTGAGGGAGATTATGAATAATGAAATGCAAACACAGTAGTTAATATGTCCGTTGGCTGGTTTATGTTTTCTTCTGGAAAATGAATAATGTGTTCTAAGAGGAACGGCCTTTCAGATTACCCTCCTTGACTGTCCTTGGGGTGAGTCCCGAGTTTGGACCCCAGATTCCTTTACCAAACAAATGCTGGCTATCAGTTGCTAGATGCGGAGCCGTATTTATTTCAAGGCCACAAACTTCCTAATCCCCCACGAGCTCTTCCAAATGAACCTGACAACACTGAAATTTCTAAGGAGATTTACTCCAGCTGTAGCAAATCCCTAATAATAAAAAATTTCCCCAAATGAGTCAGTCACACAGGACATAAATGAGACGTTCTCTGTGAAGTCAGCATGTCATTCAGTGTGTGCCCTTTATACAAAAAACCCAGCCAGAAGACCGGCTTGTCCCCAGGGCAGAGCCCGGGCAGTCCAGGGGGGGCTGGGGGAGGGAGGGGTTAGCCACCAAATTGTAATTTGGGGTCCCTTTCCCCTCAAGCAAACCTGATAGGAAAATCCAGTCTTTCTAAGAAGTTTAAGTAAGGGCTGGTTATTTGCTTCCCAAAAGGATTCACCAGAGGGGCCCCCCCCTTTTTTTTTTAAGATTTTATTTATTTTTATTTGAGAGATAGAGAATGAGAGATAGCACGAGAGGGAAGAGGGTCAGAGGGAGAAGCAGACTCCCCACTGAGCAGGGAGCCCGATGTGGGACTCGATCCCGGGACTCCAGGATCATGACCCGAGCCGAAGGCAGTCGCTTAACCAACTGAGCCACCCAGGCGCCCCACCAGAGGGGCCCTTTAAATAACAAGCCCAGAAAGAAAATTTATAATATGATTGATGTATATGGACCTTTTTCAAAAATGTATCCCTTCGCTGTATGTGTACATAAATACGTAAGGATGTATTTGTAGCTGCCAGCATTACAAAAAAAGGATTTGGGGTGGTATATCCACTGAGTAAATTGAGGCAAGTTTACAGCTATGGCATTTGCTAGGGAGCCCGGCTTCATCGATGATTGTGTTAATCCCCTAAATTACTGCATGTGTGATTAGGCAACCAGATAGAACCCTCCCCTTCTGATGATCCAGCCAGTGGGATGTCTGGGCCTCTCTTTGTCCTTTTCGGAGAAATTGGCAACACAAAGATTGGAGATATCTGGTTATCTTTTTTAAAAATACCTTTAAGCATTTCCTGGGCGTGGGCCATGTCCCTGGCACTGTTCTAGGTGACCCAACGCTGTGACTTACTTCGTCCTCACTACATGTCTGTGAGACGGATGGTGATGGTGATGATGATGATGATGATGATGGTATTTACATTTTCATCTGCTACATTATGAGAGCTGGGTTCTTCTTCTCTGCTCTCCTGCTTTGAAAAAAATTCTTTTTTCTCTTATTTTTTCTTTTATTCTACTGTGTATTGTTTTATTTGTTATTGAAATACGGTTGACATACAATGTTATATTAGTTTCAGGTGTGGGACATAGTGATTTGACAACTGGATACATTCCGCAGTACTCACCACGATGGTGCAGTTACCATCTGTCACCGTGGAAAAAAAAATTCTTAATGGAAGCAGCTTTATTTTATATATTTGTGGCTTATTAAGAAATGCAAGCTCATTGTAAGCGATTCAGATAATAGAAAAGAACAAAGAAGGAAGTAGAAATTACCGATTTCTACCACCCATATATCTCACTACTGTGAATATTTTAGTTTATGTAGTCTTTCAGACTTTTTTCTGTTTGTATATGGCAAGAATATGGATATTTTAACACATTCCTTTTTAAAAATCTGTTTTTTTCACTAACAATGTAGCATGGCTATTTTCCCATCAAAACAAAATATCTAGACCTACAGCACTATCAGTCTACTATGACAGTGGAGTATTCCATTTTATAAATACACCAAAATTCATTCACCCACCCTCTGTTGTTGGACATTTAGATATGATGCTGTTTTTTATAAACAAAGCATCTTTTCACTTTTCTTATGCTTTTTTTTTTTTTATTATATCTGCACTCACAAAGATGCATATACATCTTTGTGCAATTGTCTGATTATTTTCTTAGGAAAAATTCCTAGCAGTGGAATTGCTGGATTAAAGGGTTTGTCACATTTCTGCCAAAATGCACTCCAAAATGTTTTAACAGATGTTCCGCTTAAACTGCACCTCTACTCACTTGCTGTATATCTTCACCTCAGAAATGGGTGTGAGGATATGACAAATCATGGCTAACGTTTATTAAGCAAACACTAACGACCAGGCTGAGTGCTGACACTTTATATAGATTACGTTGGTCATTTAAATCTCACAACAACCCTAGGAAAAAGGTTCTAATATCCCTATTTTGCTGTCATTTTCCCCATTGCTAAGGATCAGAAAGGTTAAGTAACTTGCCTGAGGTCACCCAGCTAATAACGCTAAACTGGGATCCAAACCTAGTTCTGTCTGCTTCTGGGATTGGCCACAGCCTGGCAGGGGGCGGGGGTTCAGGGGTGGATGGGACTCTTCCATCCAGGTTCATACATTCACTACTCCAGGTGAACTAGGTAATATCTGCTCACTGAACACAACTGGCTTCTCAACAGTTGTGCACCCTGATGGGACATCACCATTACTCAGCTGAGAGTGACTGGCCAACACTGCTTACCTCAGTGTGAAAATACTAAGGAGGGATTTTCCAGAAGGTTTGGTGAATTTCCTTTGAGAACAAACTGTCTTTCCACTTTTGTTTTGGAAGTGAGGAAGCACATTTTCAAAGTCACCGTCATCACCCAAGCCAAAATCACCGATTCCCCCCACCCCCACTGCCTTTCTCAATCTGTGGCGCTCTCTCCAGAGCTCCTGGGAGGGGGGAGACCTTGCCATCTTGGCTTCTCCAGACTAACCAGCTTCTGTGATTCTTTTGACCGTAGGATTCCGGCCCTCTGGGGTCTAAGATTGAACTAATCCCGGTCCATTCCTTACACTTCCTTTGCAGTCCTATTTATTCATAAGTGGCTGTGCAATCTGAAATATGGCTCCTGGGGGCTGCAGTGAGGCCTCAGGCCACTGCGGCTCAAATAAGCCGCTTCTGCTGGCAGCCAGCTCCCACAGACCCTGTGTGTGTGTGGCAGGAGCCTGCAGGCACATCCCAGGGAGGGTAGCTTTTCCCTCTCTTTACCCAAAAAAAGAAATTTCTTACATGTTGTTTTAACAGGTTGCTGCAAAATAAACAACAGGGAGGGAGAAGGAAATGGATGGTTGTCGGTAAATAGTGGTACAGTGACCAGCAGTTTGCAGGGAGCTGGTGGGGAAGGACTTTCCCACCTCAGCAGCTGAGACCGTGGTATTCACTGGGAGCCCAGGGAAGGAGCACGGAGTTGGCACGGTGAAGACTGCCAGAGCACACAGCAAGGCCCAGAATGTTGCCTGTACAGATAAAATGGCGTCCCGCGGTGTGTATGCCATCCCGTGAACCGAGCCGAGGATGTCTGTCTTTGATGAGTCTTCCCCAACCTGGGGCCAGGTTGATTCCATTTTAAATGATCTCAGGCCTCAGTGCAGGGATGGCAGCCTGCTCTGCCTCTTGCCGAGGCTAATAGTTATGTGCTCACAGACACTGGGTCCCCGGGGATTCACCCCCTGCTTTTGGAGAAAGGTTTTTATTGCCTTATCTAATATGATGCTGATTCCTTTTAAAAAACATGCTGTTGACTAGATGCTGCAGAGGTGAACTTGGCAGACTCCTGTCAAGAGGGAGGGGCCCATGCATGGGAGTCTTTGTCACCAGCAATTAAAGATAAGGGAAGAGGGGGTGACCCAGGAGGAAACTGAAACATGGGGGAGAGGGCGGGAAAGTAAGCAGATCTCAGGAACGTCCCCAGTGTGCCTGGCAAGGTGCCTAGCACCTTCCTTATATCTCTCATTTCATCTCCAACCCAGCCCTCTGAACTGGATATTTTTATCCTCATCTTACAGATGAAGAAATTGATCTCAGAGGGGTTAAGTAACTTGCAGTGACGCAGAGCTAAGAAGAAAAGACAAAGATCCAGAGAGATCATGGTGGAAATAAAAATGGTGCTATGGAAGGAAGGAAAAATGCTTCTTTGGAGATATTTGTTAGAAGGATGCTACTGCTCTTATGTGGGCAAGAAATAAGGGCTTAAGGGGCGCCTTGGTGGCTCAGATGGTTAAGGTCTGCCTTCGGCTCAGGTCATGATCCCGGGCTCCTGGGATCAGCCCCACATCTGGCTCCTTGCTTGGCGGGAAGCCTGCTTCTCCCTCTCCCTCTACTGTTCCCCCTGCTTGTGCTCTCTCGCTCTCTCTGTCAAATAAATAAATAAAATCTTTAAAAACACGGATTAAAAAAGAAAGAAGGCCTTAAAACCTAGCCATCCACTGAGGCGCCCATTCTCTCTGTGGCTTCAATAGGGCAAGGCAGCTTCCTACATCTAGGTGGGCCAGTCTATACAAGCAAACCTAAGAGCCCTTTGTTTATCAGTCTGAAACACCTGAACGTCTAGGAAGGGTGAGCGCAGGAGCTGGGGTGAGACAATGGTCCCTTTCCTCTCCTGAGAGTGATCTTTGCTCATACGTGCCCCTTTGTACCATCCTCACGTAGGTATGACTTCATCGAGATTCGGGATGGGGACAGTGAATCCGCAGACCTCCTAGGAAAGCACTGTGGGAACATCGCCCCACCCACCATCATCTCCTCGGGCTCCGTGCTCTACATCAAGTTCACCTCCGACTACGCCCGGCAGGGGGCAGGCTTCTCCCTGCGCTATGAGATCTTCAAGACAGGTCAGTACGGTCGTGGGTGGAGAGCGGGGTCCCGGGCGCCCCCGAGGAGACGCGCCGCCGCCATCGGTGTGCGTCCAAGGGAACTGTGTGATGGTTATTTGCGCATAGATGGAGCCCAGTGAGACAGACGGGAAGGGTTACAAAAGTTGTTGGAGCTGGAAGAGAGACTCACGGTGACCCTGGACACAGCCTGAGATGAAAAAGCGGTTTAACTTATGATCCAACTTGAGAGGGCGCCTTGCATGGTTAGTGCTGGGTGCTGCCCGTCAGGCAGACAAGCATTGTTTGTGGCACCGAAAGAGGAAGGAACGCCAATTAAATAGAACAACAATTCTTTTTTTTTTTTTTTTTAAGATTTTATTTATTTATTTGACAGAGAGAGAGACAGCGAGAGAGGGAACACAAGCAGGGGGAGTGGGAGAGGGAGAAGCAGGCTTCCCGCTGAGCAGGGAGCCCGATGTGGGGTTCGAACTCCCTAGAGCAATGCTTTTGAAAAGAACTCGATTTTTGTGTGTTTTTAAAAATCACAATAATCTTCATGGGGAAAAAAGCAAAACTTGGTCGAACTTCCTCCTAATTACTTCATGGTTTAATGTTGCCTTTATCCGGAATTTCATGGGCAGAAGGACATAATCTTTTCAGTGTTTAGAGTCTCTAAAAGATCTTACCAGTGGGGTCATATGGTAGCTTTTAAATTCACATGTGGCTTATCAGAATTCCCCTCGCTGACCCATTTTACCTCTTCCACCTGTTGACCCCTACTTCCTAAATGCCAGGATAACCGCCTCCTGAAAAGCAATCAAAAAGATAGAAAAAGAGAGAACACTGCACTTCTTTTAAGGTGACTCTCCGCTTTCCGTTAGGCCCCCCTTCGATTACTTTAGGCTCTGAGAACATGGCCCCATCCTTATTTCCATAACTGGATTGATCTTTTATTCACAAGTTGCTGGTTCAGTATCTACACTGACACGCTCCAAGCAGCATGCCCGTCCCTCCAGGGTGAGAGCTCATTATCTTGAGTCTAAGCGAGGTACACCCTCCAGGTCTCCCCTCACCCCCAGCCTGCTCCCCCACCTCACAGGCTCCCACCCCATCTACGAGTGCGGCCCCTCCAAGCCTGTGTTTTACAACTCGTGGACGGAGTCTGGCGCAAGGGGAGGCTGTCCGCCTTGTCATCGAGAGGCCCAAGTCCGGCGCCTGTTGAGTTCAGTGTAAGGGGACCTATTCATATATATTTTCTTTTCACTGAACAGTTCTTGAAAGGAAGTGGTAGCTGCTGAAAGCACTTTTTATATCCACTCTGTCTAAATATTTGTCAGATTTGTCTGCCTGAGAGCAAGAACGTAGAATCCAATGAAGGGGTGGGCCGAGGGAACTGTGTCAAGCCATCATTGAGCCAGAGTGGGAGCACAAGACTGTCCCAGGGCACAAGTCCCAAGAAAGTCTGTCTGTCATGGGTCATCACGCTCCCAACCACATGAGATCATAGGGACCGACAATCTGTGTGTCCAGTGTCCCAGGGGCTGTTGTGAGGCTCCTGAATGCCTTGATCCATATTCCCTAGAGTCCTGCGCAAGATTCCGATCAGTCAGTCCACCAGCTCAGCTGGCACGTTCATCATTCCCTCTTCTGCTGGGGAGCAATGGGGAGAGAGAAGATAGAAAGGAATAAAACAGGATGTTTGCTCTCTTCTAGTGAGCAAACAGGTATGTAAACCCTCACACGTAACAGATGCGCAGTGGATGTCGTTGGGTGAACATAGGTAAATAGCTACGTAAATTGAGAGGAAAACTATAATATGAGGCAGTAGGAGTCAGCACTGAGTAAGAGTACGATTAACGTGCTCCGGTTATGAAAACGAGGGCTCCATTGAGTGGCTTGGCAAGGGGGGGCATCTGGGAAGTCAATTTGATAGCCAGGTCCCCAGTGCTAACGCCATCACTCAGCTCCCCTGTGCTGACAGGAAAAGGAAAGCAGCTCTAAGCAAGGTCTTCCGGGGAGCTGGCCCAGGGAAGTCTCAGCAAGGGTGAGCAGGACCATTAAAGCTCATCTCTGTTTCAGGCTTCCGGACTTAGTATTTCCCAAAGGATGGTGCCATGAGTCTCCGGAAAGCCGCGGTAGGAGTGAATGTGAACCCTATCCATGATGCACATTTGAAGGGTTGAGGTTAAAAGTTAAGACGCCCAGGAGGGTAGCATAACAGAGCACTACTGTTTTGAGACCTCTAGTCTGTGGATGCCTAGACGCAAGAGCGCCAGCCCATGGCAGGTGGCTTGGGTGTGGAGCAGTGGGGCAGCCTACTTCAAGGACCAGGATGGCTAAAGAAGGAGGAGAGAGATTCCTGTAGTGGGAGATAGCCCCACCGACAACAGTCAAATCTCTGGCGGACTATAAGAGAGAAAATGAGAACCCAGTGGACTTCTTGGGGGCCACTGTCTCCTCCCATCATGCCTGCCTGAGAGAACAGCTCTCGGCATGAAAATCAACCCTGTATACAACACATACGTGTGCGGGCTACAAAATTCAAAGCTGAGAAGTCTAGGAGGATGAGCATTCCTCCAGGTGCCATGCCCTCGCTGCCCCCACATTTCCACTGTCGGAGTCCTGAAAGAAAATACACAAAGTTTACGTCATCCACAGAACATGAAAGAAATGCGTGAACATGCTGAAGAAATCCAAACAAACACAGCTATATTTGCTAGTCAGATTCATAAAGAGAAAGAAGGGGGACTGTAAACACAGACACACAAAATAACCGTACCGAGGACCGTGGAAGCCTGCAACTGCACATTGCCCTGGCCAGGCTCAGCTACAGAATTCTACTGACAGGCACAAACCCGCAGCTCGGGTACGGACAGGGGCCATGTGGCTAGAGTGGGAGGTTCCTGTCTGCCCTGAATGAAGTGGTTTAGAAAAGAGTCAATGTAATACCAGACTGTCCACATATAAAAGAGCAAACCAAAACAGCTTGCACACTTGAAGGATCTCAGATTGCCCAATCATGAGCATAATAGAGAAAGGAATTTTAAAATAACTCTAAAAAGTAACACTGGACGCTGAATCACTGGAAAACGTGGGGTTTTTTGTTTGTTCGTTTTCTGATAACTCTTTTGACCAAAGTTCAAGATCAAGTTTTCTTTCCCAGTATCCAGTGACATTTCAGAAACTGAAAGCCCTGGGGTCATTCACAGATAGAGAAACCTTAGAGAGTGCCCCGTGCTCCTCCTCCCTGAACCAAATTCACTTTTCAAGGTCAGGCCAAGTTCTGTTGGGATAAATCCACCATGTTTTAAATAGCTTTATGCATGCAGATTCTTCTTACGCTTGCAGAGTTATTGTAACATTGACAGTGGGAAAACACGGAGTGGGCATTTTTCACACCAGAGTCCTTTGGTACGAAATCATTCACTGCAGCCCAAATCCCCCAGCTTGCGTGGACAGTCTTAGCATTGAGTGAACTGGAGTATTTGTTGACTGAGCTTTTTTTTTTAACCTTTAATTCTTTTAACGCATGGCAGAAAAGGATCTTGGATGAGCTCAAAGTCTACAAGACTCCACTTTTGTCCCAGGAGGGTCCCCTCTTTTGAGAGCTCCTCTCTACAGTTACTGTTCAGCTTCCTGCTTTCTGACACTTTGCCCACAGTCCAAACTGTGAATGGCGCAATTACAGATGAAGACACCATTGTAATGGACAAGTTTGATTGTTCTGCGCAGAAAGGATAAAACTGTTTTCCTTCTTTGTTTAAAATAAGCCAGAGGATATACCCGTGTATAGCCATGTGGCAGAGAGAGATACATGCTCTTTTTGGTGGCTTTTGTGTGTTTGATTTGCCTTAAAAATATCCTATTGAAAAACTCTGACCACTCAAATGCAGGACCTCAGAACTCTGGAAACTGTGGGTACTTCAGAATCCCATAGGCTCTGGACCTCTCTCGGGCTTACTAGGTGTCCATGGTGGAAAACTTTGTCCCCCGTGGATGGGAGGAACCAAAGAAAGATTCCACCAAAAATTCCCCACTCCCGGGGGGGATGGGGATTCCCCTGGCCTTGAAGGGGAATGACAAGAGAGCAAACCCGAGGAGGGAATGTCAGGATGCCTTTTCTAGCTCTGAAAGCAAGTCGTGGAGAGAAAGTTAATTTCCTCTGGCTAAGTGACCCACACGGAGGAGGCTGCACAATGGCAATACACACTAACCTTTTCAAGATTCCTCTCAGCCCCGCAAAGACCTGCCAGCTGGCTTGGCTTTGCCCAACCGCCTCATCCCGGACCGTTGAGGAGGCCCTCCAGAGTGTGGGGTTAGACAGTAAACAAAGCTGGGGGCTCGGTGGTAAACAAACTGGGGAAAGGCCGTCCCCGCTCAGCCCTCTGGACCTGGCTGCCCACGGGGCCGCCCTGCCCCTGACAGAGTGCAGAGCCTCCAAGATACAGATGCGGTGCTTAGGGAGTGTTTAGAATCCTGAAAAGGTTAGTTCTCGCCCCAGCTGTCGCGTGTCCCCACCCTGCCAGGGCAGAGCGCTGGTTGCTGGTGGGAAGGGCAGAGGGGACGGATGGGTAGGTAGGGATGTTGGAATTTCCTGTCTGATGCTAAAGGAAGTTGCAGTCCCCCTTGTCCCACTTATTTGCATGGCACCTTTTCCAAGTCAGACCTGTGCACTTCCCAGAGAGCCATCATCAATAAAGAGGCCCGTGGAGGGGCCTGCTCCAGGAGCCACCGATGAAGACATCGCTGCGGGCAAAGATCAGTGTATTGACATCACACAGTTATATTTCAGCGGGATCCCCAGAGGACATTTCCTGCCAGTAAACACCTGGTTTATCGAGTATTTCTGTATTTTTTCTTCATGCTTAAAGTGCCTATTATCCTCCTCATAAATCCTGCTACCTTTTTTTAATTTTAAAATCAGATCGTAGTGAAATCAGTTGTGGTTGTCCGGCCTTCACATCCGCGGCATTGACTGGTATCACCTCTGGCCCGGGGCTGCTCCATGGGCCCGTGGCCTGGGCTGCAGTGTCCCAGGACCAGCCTGAGGCCCGCCCTGCGTGAAAACCCATGAGGGCCCTTTTAATGTGACTCCACCTAGAGGCATTCGAAGATCTGGTGGCTATAATCCTCTTAGAGCTCCCAGTGCCGTCCAAGCCCGCACAGGGGTGCGAATTTGTGCCGCATTTAATAAGAATGCCTCCCCGAGTCCCAAGAAAGCAGCCACAAGAGCTTCAGAGAGAAACAAGGCCATCCCCACCACAACCTTGGGACCAGAAGCCTTCCAAATGTCGATACACTGCCGCATTTTTCCAAACTTGCTGCTGGAGCGGCCTTTAACATCCCCAACGCCCTGCTGTGATGCACCAGCTACAAAAGTCGATTGTTAATTGTCTGGCCACTACAGAGCAGCTCGTTTTAATATAGTCATGACATGAATGAGACCCAAGCTCCCCTTTGCCCCTCCCCTGAGGCACCTTGGATCTTGGAGGGAGAAGGGGGCACTTAGTTGGCTCTGGTACAATAGGGGCTAGTGTTGAGGTCAGCAATAAATAAGGGGTAACATTGTTGTCCCTGCTGGCAATCAGCAAGCCTTCCTTAAGGATTGAAATAACTTACATTTCTGGAGCAAGCAGCTGAGTAATTGAGAAAGAAGACTCTGTTCCTCTTTTCAAGAGAATCCCTCTCTTTCTCTCTTTCTCTCTCTCTCTGAATCTCACACACACACTTCTTTCTGACCCCGCTCTACTCCCCAACTCCTCAATTGCTGCTCATCCTTTATTATGTAGAGCACGCCATCTCTCCTCCCCTAATTTCTCTCCTGAAGGGACTCTGGCTTAAAGGCTTGAGACATGGATGTGAAGAGTATGTTGCTTCAAGGGCCACTCCAGTGGAAACAAAAACCTTATGAGGAGGGGGATTGGGGCTCAAACATTTAACTAACCCACGTGGCAGAAGCAGCAAAGAAAGGCATCTTCTTCTCTTTCCGTAATGCTACAGTTCTCTTTTACATACAGGCTCCGAAGATTGTTCCAAAAACTTCACAAGCCCCAACGGGACCATTGAATCCCCTGGATTTCCTGAGAAGTACCCACACAACTTGGACTGCACCTTTACCATCCTGGCCAAACCCAAGATGGAGATCATCCTGCAGTTCCTGACCTTTGACCTGGAGCACGACCCTTTGCAGGTGGGAGAAGGAGACTGCAAATACGATTGGCTGGACATCTGGGATGGCATTCCACATGGTGAGTGATGTCGCCGTCACGAGGCCCTTCTCAGTAGCTTCGTCTCTGCCTATGAATTCTTTTGGTAACAATAAAAAGAGAGAACAAAGACTTCAAAGCTCCTTAGGGTTTGTGTATGACCCGTGATGACTTTCGTTCTTATTCTTCACCAAGGATGATTTCAGAGAAATTGCAGAAAGGCAGTTTCCTTTCTTGGAATATTTCTTTGGAGAAAGATAGGAGGAGACTGAGTAGATACTTGGGTGAAGATGAGAAAGCCTATGGGTAATGTTCTTTTCTGCCCCAGGTTGTCAGGATTTCCATAGAAAGTGACTCTGTGACCACCTTCTCTGCCCAAATAGGATGCTAGAGCCAGAATGACTAAGTCTGGATCCTGGCTCTGCTATAAGGCAGCTCTGCAACCCTGGGCAGCTCACTTAAACCCTGTGTCCTATCTGTATAAATAAGCTGCTTTCATCATCATTATTATTACTATGACTTTACTATTATTAGAACAGTCATAGATGTCAAAAAGGTGTATCACCCAAGGCCCAGTGGAACTGGTACTTCTCAGGTGGAGACCAACGTAGGTCTTTATAGTCAGTATTGGTGAGAAAACCAATCGTTCACTTTCGTAGTCAGCCTCAGCGTTTTGCCTTGTGGGGGAGGCTTGATGACTAAGCAGTTTCATTTCCTGAGAAGAGCATAAGACTAAGTCAGAAAACTTGGGTGTGAGTCTCAGCTCTGTTATTTCCTAGACGTATGAACATGGAACAGTCATGTGACCTTCCCGAACCTCAGTTCATTCTTCTGTAAAACGGGCATTATCATGATAGCTTTCCCGCCTGTCCCCAGAACAGAGCGAGAGAAGAAAATGAGGCCAGGTCAGGGAAAATACAGTTGCCCCTTGAACAGGGAAAAAAGTACAGTCGCCCCTTGAACAACGCGGGGATTAAGAGGGTCAGGCGCCCATGTAGTCGAAAATCCACACATGACTTCTGACTCCCCAAAACTTAACTACTAATAGCCTACTGTTGACCAGAAGCCTGACCAATAGTATAAATAGTCCATGAACACATATTCCGTATAAGTATTATATACTGTATTCTTACAATAAAATAACCTCGAGAATAGAAAATGGTATTAAGAAAATCATAAGGAAGAGAAAATACATTTACAGTACTGTATTTGTCAAAAAAAAAAAATCCATGTGTAAGTAGGTCCATGCACTTCAAACCTGTGTTGTTCAAGGGTCAACTGTACTTTTTAATGTACAGGAAAAATATTAGACATTGTCCTTAAAACCTATCTTTGGTCGTTCTTTTATGCCAAGGCATAACCGAAGGGTGCTCTGTGGAGTGACTTGGTGATTGTGGCAAGGGTGAATGTATTGAAAATGGTGTTTGACATTTCCATTTCTACTGACCTGTCTTTGTCCTGCCTGTCCAGTTGGCCCTCTGATTGGCAAGTACTGTGGGACCAAAACACCCTCCGAACTCCGCTCGTCAACAGGGATACTCTCCCTGACCTTTCACACGGACATGGCGGTGGCCAAGGACGGCTTCTCTGCACGCTACTACCTGGTTCACCAAGAGCCACCAGAGAGTGAGTTGGCGAGTTGGGAACCTCTGTCCTGTCCTTCCATCAGGGCTGTGAGATGTACGGTGGAAAGAGGCTGGCCTTTGGGAGAGGAGAGGGAAATTCTCCAGAATTTGTAGTAACCTCTGAATTCCGGGAATGGGGGCTATATCCTCTTGCTAGGCAGAGATTAATAAGAGTCGAACCCATGTCGGCCAAGTACTCATTTCTCTAGAAAGTAAGTATGTGCACCAAGAATTAGTTATTCCCAGCGTAAGTCACAGGACCATCTCCCACTTCAGTTTTCTCATCTGTGAATGAAAGGGAGGTGAGTTAGGATATCTACATAGAGTCCTCACCCTGGGCTAACATTTTTTAAGTCTTCTCTCCCTCTCTAAGCCTCAGTGGCCATTGTCAGAAAACTGAGCAATTTGTAAACCTCCTTCATATATGTATTTTACATTAAACATCTCTGGCCCTGGATAGAGTTTCTCTCACTAGACTGGTATATGCTTGGACTTCCACGTCATGCTTTAGTATACACAGTTTCCAAGCTTCTACCATGTGCCGGGTACTGTGCAAAGCCTAAAGTGTAGCTCCGACCCCAGCTGTCCTGGAAATGCCCATCTAGACCTTGAGTCTCCTGCCTCCATCCACATCTACTCTGAACTACATCTTCAGATCAGCTTCTCTAGGACACGTGCTTCAGATGTGCTGCCATTTATACTTAGAGACCCTAGTGATAACTTTAGGTCCCAAAGAAATACTTTAGGGAGGACTGGAGCTGGGGAAATCTTGCCATGGTTATAGACAGCTTACCATGTGCGTACCCACAGACATGGCAGCCTGGCCTACTGGAAAGGCGATGGGTTTTGTTCTGGGTTTTGCTTTTGTTCTTCTTCAAAGAGCTCATGAAGATTGGGTGACAGGAAAACAGTATTGCACATTTGCACCAAGTGCTGCAAATGGCCAGTGCAGTCACGGAGCTCAAGGATGGGTTTGATACCTGAAAAAATTGCTGGTCTTTGTCAGACACCTGCGCACGCAGATACTGACCAGTGTGTCTGCAGTATCCATGGGAAGGACAGCAGTTGAACTAATGGTGCGTAGCCAGAGTCAGTGACTTCCAGGTCCATTTGCCAAGGCAGGTGGCATAGGGGAAGAGAGTGATGTGCCCGTGCTCAGGGAGAGATGTCCCAAAGACGGGTATTCACTGCTCTATAATGTCGGTCTTCTGTGCCAGAACTCGACACAATTGAGTGAAAGAGAGAAGCAGAAGTGCCTCCTGGGTGTTTATGAAGAAAGCAGGCTTCCCACGATGTATCAGCCCACCCAGATTGCCACGAGTCTATCACACGTTTACCTGTATTTCAATAACGGTGCATCTGGCGTCTGTGAGCATCCGTAGCCTGCAGCACCAACAGTTCTTATGCTTTAGATTGTATTTTTAATTTGTATGATGATTCTTATTTACCCACAGTCTGACTTCTTTTAGGTCCAATTTAGTTTCTTTCAAACCCAGAGGGGTTGTCAAGCTCTATGACTTGGCAGAGTCGTTTTCAAAATGTGAGTGTATAATTAGGTCTTTAAGATGAGGGAGTTCTGCAAGGACTTGTCCCTAGAAGGCAGCAACATTTTGGGGATCCCAGGAGTTTGAGGTTGAGAGACAGAACTCTGCCCTTGACCCTCTCCCTTTCCCAGACTTCCAGTGCAATGTGCCTCTGGGAATGGAATCTGGCCGGATTGCTAATGAACAGATTAGTGCCTCATCTACCTACTCTGACGAAAGGTGGACACCTCAACAAAGCCGGCTCCATGGCGATGACAATGGCTGGACCCCCAACTTGGATTCCAGCAAGGAGTACCTCCAGGTACTTACTCCGATACCAGAGGGTGTGCCAAGTGTGAGTGTACCGGTGGGCGAGGGAGTGGCTCGGCTGGAGTGGACAGAGGACACAAAGAAAATAAACACAGCATGTTCGAGAGCTCCATTCATTCATCCATCCAAACACCCACATGTACCAGGCACAAATAGACGCAGCCAGGTGCTGTGCTAACTGCTGGGATAAAATGATGATAAGACAGATACTGCCACCCCTTGTGAAGATTACCAGGCCTTGGAGAAGTTGTTTGGCCTGGGTGGTGTTTGCCTCTTAGTATAGATATCCAAGGAACATTCTATAAACAGTTCCAGATCTTCCTCATTCTTGGCACAGGGAGGCATCAGAGACTTGGTCGGGGGAGGGCTTTTTCCTGAGGGCAGACTTGTTGAGTTGCTAGCTGAGCATGGCAGCTTCTCATGATCTTTGCTGTTTGGAGGGAGCCCTGCCAGGAAGGTTTTTCACATAGCTATCAGAAGAACACATGGGAAAATGTCACTACCGGGAATGAAGCTCTAGTTGCCCAGATGCTCTGCAGTGTCTTTTCAGACTATTGTTTGCTTTCCTTCTAAATAAGACTTGCAGTGTATGTTGAATAATTCCCCCTAAACTATAGACTGGTCCGGTTCTCCTCCCCCAGGAAGAGCAAGCTACTAGGTCCACGCTAGAGCAATGACTGCTTTTATGACACACACCGGACAGCCTTGTGACCCATTGACAAGCCGGTCCTAGTTCTGACGTGACCTGATGACCTCTGCTCTGAGAAGGACATGGCAGAGCAAACAACAGGACAGGGAGAAGTACCACTTAGAAACTTCCAGGGAGTCCACACAGGTCCTAACAGCACAACCCTAAGGCCATCTGTCACTATCTCTTCTCTGCTGCTCCAAAAACCCTTCTCATCCTTCCTGCAAATCTTCCAGAACATTCTCTTTTATGATCAATGTTCCATAGATTCTACTTCTTATTTTTGGTCCTCAACCATAAACTTTCTCGTATTGCCCTCCAGCTGTTTATCGTGCGCATATACAGCACTGCATACTTCTTTTGAATTGTGTAATATGCCGAGCACATGTTAAGTACCAATAAATGCTTCCTGAATCAAATTTTGCCAGTGAGTGCTGGCTAAATTTTGATCACACGGAGGTTGCCATTAAGAAACACTGCGGCCAGCAAAGGAATGACATCCAGCAATTTCCAAATGGGTTTGGTGTTATGGGAAGAGAGGTGCCTTAAAATGTGGGTCATCTTCCTCATCGAGCCAAAGGTCGGGACTTGGTGCATAAGCCTAATTGCTTGGGCAGACTCTGGATGCCCTTTGACCCTTTAGTGACCTGAGGGACTAAATACACAATGGAGTGAGGGACCAAGGGGAGGGGAGGTGAGGCAGCCCTGAGCTGAGACATTGCAACTAGGGCATCATAAGTGAATTGGCTTGGACTGGACTGGAGTAGGGTGGAGTGGATTTAACCATTGTTTCTTTAAACAGCATCTGCTTTTACTATGCAGGGCAGGCTGTAGTTCAATAAGAAGAGGTCACAGTTCTAGATGTTCGAGGATCCCTTTAAGATAAACTGAATACTGTCCGTTCAAATTTGCAAAAAAAGAGAAAAAAAGAACAATCATCCGGGTACAATTTCAAAGGTGTCCAATTTAGGGCCAGATAAGTTGAGTTTGACCATCCAGTCTGGAATTGCAGACTGATACTGATCCCTCTGATTCTGGTGGATCACAGGCACGAGTCGAAAGCAGGTGTGACAGTTCTGTCCTTGAGAGGAAAAGCAAGAGGTTGCTGCCCTCCTGTCAGGAGCCATGGGTCCCTTATTCCTCCTCCCCTCTTCCTCAGGTGGACCTGCGCTTTCTAACCATGCTCACGGCCATTGCAACGCAGGGAGCGATTTCCAGGGAAACGCAGAATGGCTACTATGTCAAATCCTACAAGCTGGAGGTCAGCACTAATGGGGAAGACTGGATGGTCTACCGGCATGGCAAAAACCACAAGGTAAATCCATTTCCCTCCCCGCCTCACAGGCACGTTGGGGCATTGGGTTGTGCGGGAGCCTGGGGCAAGAGGAGCTGCCAGGCGACCCCACAGAGGGGACGAGGCCTTGTTCGGTGAGGCTCAAATAATTGACGGAGGCATGGGAGGCAGTGGCCCTGAAAATATTCTTTCTTATGCTAAAGTAATTGGAAAACACCGTTTCTCCAACAGCCTGGCTTCTGTGGCATGTGGCACCGCACAGAGAGCGAGCGAGCGCGAGCTTGCGGAGTGCTCTCTGACTGCAAATGAGGGAGAAAATGTGCCCCCCGTCCGCGCCTCCCCATACAGGATGCATTGAGCATTTATGGCCTGAGTCCCTTCCACATGCTGGGTTAACAATCACAAAACCACATGAAACTGTGGTTCAGGAGTTACCAAGGTCTAGAAATGAAAGGGCACAAATCCTGGGAGGAAATCACAATGTCCTGAAGAAGAAAGAAGACAATAAATAATGAGGAGAAATTCAGTTTGTCGGGGATGGGATCTGAACTGGCAATCATGCTTGGCAGCAAGGCATTGAACTGTCCCGGCTGGTGCCCTCAGTGTCTGTGGTTCCCAGAGGTGTGTCCATGTGGGTGATGCGGGGCTTTTGTTGTCCACATGGATGAATGTGGGGCGCTCGGCTTTCCTAGGACACGTGGCATCCTGGCGGTGAGAAGGCCTGCGGCCGGCACCGCCAATCCTGGTTATGGGGTGCACTCGGCACATGGGGGGCTCATTGGGAACGGCTGGTGGTCTTGCCCGGGCATGGGGCGATCTCTGTCACGCACTGGCTTTCCACTCTGGGAGGACAGTGCCCATCCTTCCCTGAATGGAAGCGGGGACAGGCAAAGGGACTCTCCTCTTCCGTGCTCCCTTTCTGCCGGGGCCCCTGGCCTGTCGAGCTGGGAATTATCAAAACAGGATGCATGTGACCAACCCAAGAGAGGCCAGAGATCTTTTCCAAACATGGCCTCCTCGGCTCCTACCACTGCCCCGAGGTTGCTTGCCCTCGCTGCCGAGACTGGAAATGTTGGACGGAGAAGATGCAGAACTGTGATGTCGGCACTGATTCACTCAGGAAGTATGAGTTTTTAAAGCAGTGGATTTTTTTTTTATTATTATTACTAAAATCGCCATAGTAACATGGCACCATCCATCTGCAAATCACAGCTTCTGGATATTACCAGGTATCTCTCTCTCTCTCTCTCTCTCTCTCATACACACACACACACACACACACACACAGTTTCTTCATTTCACAAAGAAAGTGAGGTATTTAGCAGGTAAAAGACCTCCCCACCTTGACATGGTCAACCAGGTCCGGCTTCTCCTTGACTTCTTTTGTTTCAGTTGCAAATATCACTTGGAAAGGGCAAGGCTTAGTTGGCCCTGGATGCTGGGGGCGAGGGATTGAGCCCTCATCCCCCCTGACGAGCTTGGCGCAGTGGCAGTATCATAGCTGATGCGGTTTATCCGAGGCGCGATTATTGCTAATTGAAAACTCATCCCCCCGACGCTTTCCCATGCCCTCTCTCCTCACCCACCCTTTTCAGTACGAAACTGGTAGAAACTAACAGCTCAGCCAGGCAGGCGAGGGCCAGTGCTGAGTAGCAGTGGGTCCTGGGGGAGAAGGAGAAGGCTCACCTGCCTGCCTCCCTGAGCAGGCTCAATGACTAAGCAGCACTGGCCAGAGGGATCCTGTAGCATAAGCTGATTTTAAAAGCACGCAGATGGACTGGGATGCTATTTAAAACACTATTTGTAGGAAATCTGCTTTTGGAAATACCTTCGCGCTGCACGTTTTGACAGAGTGCTGCCCTCCCTGGCTTTATCCCTGGTATTTGTTCTGCAGGGAAGATGTTCCTGGGAACTGAATTTAGCTTGCTGGGCTCCTTTGGAATCATTCTCAACTTTTTCATATTGGATATATCATTCTCTCTCTCTCTCTCTCTCTTTCACCTCCCCTTCTCACCCTTGGCTAGATTTCTTTCCACAGGAGCCAAAGGGTAATTTCATTTTTGTTTTGTTGTTGTTGTTTGGCTTTTTAGTGAATCAGTCCTGCCCACATAAAAAGCACTGGGCAGAGGAAAAAACCCTTTCTCTCCCCATTAGATATTCATTCTCTGACTACGTAGAAGGAGGCAGGAGAACGGAAGGCCTGCCAATTAGGCGTTGCCCCCTCCCCTCGCTGCCTTGCCCCACTGCGGGCGCGGTGGGCAACGTGGGAGACCTGCCCGTCCGCCCCTCTGGGGGTGATCTCCACTTGGGTGGAAATAGTTGAGTGAACCGTGCCAAATAGATTTGTCAGGTCTGCTGCAGTTTGATTTGCTGCCACGAAGGGGAGGTGGCTGAGGAGGGGAGTTGGGGGCAGGGGAGGGCAGGGGAGAGGCTTCATCTGTGCCACGTCTATGCCGGCCGCTACCACTGAGCTTCTCTCTGTAGCCACTGGCGGGTGGGCTCCGTGCCAAGCTAACTGGGGCTAGGTGGTGGGCTTGCAAGCACAATTCAGACAGCAGGACCTGTGAGCAAAGCAGAGCGGAGGTAGAGGCGGCCGCGTGCTCCGCTCTGTGGTGCAGGGGGAGGGTTTGCAGACACAAATCTGTGCACAGGGTGTGAAGAGGGGATGGTGATGTTTGGGGCAGAAATGGGGGAACTTGATTTCAATTCCCTGGTCACTGTCAACACCAGTGCTATGGACCAAAGACCAGGGAATTGGGGAAATCGGAGAAAAACAAGATTAATGAGTGCTGAAGGTGGTGGGGGATGGCTATGCGACTTCCTTGCAATACAGGATTTACGCTGTGGACCCAGGCTGGGCTGAAGCAAAGCCTGGGCCTACAGGGGAATGACTTCTTGCGGCCAGGAAGTGAGGAAGACTAAGGAGCCCTTTTCCAGCTTCCCCCAGCCTGTGAGCAGCCTCTTCTTCGTCTCTTTCTACCTAAAAGGTCACGGTGAGGTTGCCTCCGACGGAGGCATTTGACTATCGTGGGGGGTGTTGCAAGCATCCTCCTGGCAAAACACGGCCCATTTACACAGGCCACATGTACAGCACATCCCCAAACCCTTATCCAATTACACATGCCATAAATATGGAACCTATGATTTTCCTATAGGGTGGGCCCTCCTTATGCATATTTATGGTGTAACCACAAGGCAGAGCGCTTGTCCGCCTGATGGAGCCCATATCCAGCCCATGTGCTCCCTTAGATTATACAAATTGCTTCACATACATTTCTTCAGAAACCACGAGCAGAAAACTACTGCTTTTGGTTTCACCAGCCATATTAATAACACCCCTAACATAGACATAGTGTTGTAAATACAGTATTAGAAGCTTCACATATGTGTGTATAATTATGGGCACAGTTATGTACACACAAGCCACAGGAAGGGCAGGGAGAAAAATGGGAGTAGCTGGAGGCTTGAGGCCTTGGCCAGGACCCTGCTCACCTCTGAATGGCTAGTTCTGTGGGTGTACACTGGATGGAACATGGCCAAGACTAGTGTCAGGATGGGGGACAGAGGCCGTTGCCCTTATATGTCTAGGCAAAAGGCCTTGTCTTCATTTCTCCCTTATTTGGTAAACGTGGGCATCTCCTTGTTGACATAGCCCTGGTTACCTTGCTGTTAGTCACAGTGCTGTTGGCTGTTCTGATGTATTTGGAAGAAATTTGGGCTCAAAAAGAGAGTCTGTGGAGGTGCTAAATATATCTTGATGGCCAGATTGCAGATGGAAGGATGGCGACAGGGATGAGGTCCAAGAGTTTTCAGAATTACCCTGTAATGAGTGGCAGAAATGTGCTAAATAAGCTCATCCCATTAAGGCAGTGATGGCCTCCAAGGGGATCGGAGAACCTCCAGGTACCACCTCATTGGCTGCAGAATGGAACAGAGTTTCAAAGACTGGAATTGAAGCTCTTAGAGACAGAGTCATTTGTTCCGGGGACATGGGGAACTGTGGAGTCCCCTCGAAAGGCACCTGGTCACAGGGCTTTGATCTCCAGGAAGATGTTCCCCGAAATCTGATCCAGGCCTTGCTGTCATCTCACATCCAGAGGGAAGCCGGCTTCCTAGATCTTCAGTGTAGGGGTCTAGAGGTGTGCATTTTCCTGGAGAGCCTCCATCATTGTGGAGATCCGAGGGCAAAGCTGTGCTCGGACAGCATGGCTTAGCACGCCCAGCTCATCAGTTTGGAGTTCGGGCTACGTCCTAGAATCCCGAGGATGTAGAGCTGAGAGAAGTTGCTTCACATTCGATTTGGCCATGTCCCTTCAAAACACATACACACCCCACTTCAAAACATTCTCTGTCCTGTATTTATTTTCTAAATTAAAACAAATCACTTTGAAAGCCATTGGAGAATTTAGAACCCTCCTCGAAATTATCAGAGACTTAGGAGGAGAGAGAGCAGTGTCAGAAAACCAAACCCCCCAAGTCAGTCAGCTAACAGAACCATGTGGCGTCTATTTTCAGATCTTTTTAGAGGATGCATCGTGTGACCCTGGAAATTTCTCTTAATAGCTCCGTGCTTCAGTGTTTCTGCCTCTGCCCAAACGGAATGGTGCTGTAGCTTGTGTTGGCAGGGCACCTTGGGATCCGTAGATGGAAGGCTCTCTGCAGATATAATTAATGTATTAGACCCACAAAGCTCTTCTTGAGCAGAAGCAAGTTATCAATTTAAAAAGTAACAAGGCCCCATGGGATATTTATCTGCCTCTTTTAAAATCATAGGTCTGGAAGGGACCTGATAAGTCATCCAGACCTCTCTCTGCATCTGATGGGTCCTGCACTCAAGCTGCCTCAGATAAACATTACCCTTCTCAGTTTCATTCTTCTGTTAGGGATGCAATTATTCCTCCGATTAATAACTTAGAGTTTCCAAAAAGTACTGTGTGTTTTGTTTTGTTTTGTTTTTACCTCCTGGTGGATGACTGGTTTCCCCCTATCCTTTTCATTGCAGTTTTGTTGACTATATATAA